ACTTTCAGTTTGGGAAGATAAAGAAGTCCTGGCACAGGACAGTGGTTTTGGTTGCAAAACCACATGAACGGACTTAATGCCGCGGCACTGTCTGTGGAAAACAGTTACTATGGAACCCTCACGGTAAGTGTCTTTACCACAACAAAACACAAATACAAACATGCCAGCCACATAAGTCCTCTAAAGGCCCCCACCCAAACCCCACTGGAGAACAAAGTCCCTACCCTCCTCCAGCCTGCCCATGCTTTGCTTCAACCCGCAGACCTCCCTGTTAGTATCCCCTCCTCAGCTGACTCCTGCGTGCACAAACTGGCCCCCACTTGGACCTTTACAAACCAAGCCCGCTCCCCGCCCAGGGCCTTCCCCTGCTGTTCCCTCTGCCTGGCACAGTCTCCTCTCTGGCACCTGCAGGGACGGCTTCCTCCTCTCTCCTAAAGTCCTTGCTCGGGGGTCTCTTCTGATCACACTGTTCAGAATTCAATATCCACCCCATCTCCTGTGGCCCAAGGTTACAGTTTGTGTCTAGGTGTCTCCCCGAAGCCTCATGCGGTCATAGGTGGGCTTTTGGGAGGTGGCTGGATCTGGAGTGTGTGATGCTGGGATTAAGGGTGTGTGATCACTAAATCAGTCCACTAGTTGTTTTGGCACTGTTCTGGGTAGGGTTGGGGCTGCCCTGGTCTGACTGTGAATGCTACCTGCCCTCAGAGTTAAGACAAGGGACAGAAAGAGGCTCCTTGCTTGTCACTTGTCCTTGCTGCCTTCTGCCTGCTTTTTCTGTGATGCCCTTTTGCCCTGCCACCCCGCCTTGGAGCCAGCCAGCGATGGACTGAAACCTCTACAAACTGTGAGCTACAATAAACCCTTCCTCCTTTAACTTTGGGTGTCAGGTATTTTGTCTCAGGAATGAGAAAATACCTGCATTTATTTTTACCATGGCAGCTCCTACCATCCAGACAATACGTTATCCTGCTTATTTTTATGTTGTCTGCCAGCAAAGGACAAGCTTGACAGGACAGACATTCTTGTCTCACCGGTGTATCACTGAGGGCCAGAAAAAATAAACAATACTCAATAATATTTGTTGAATGAATGAATAAATAAAATATCTCCTGCTATTTTCATATGAATCATTTTGACTCCATCTTACTCTTTTTTTTTTTAATTGCAGCAGCGTATTGGGCAATATGAACGTAACTTACTGTGTATTATCACTTTTTTTCTCTGCACATGTAGAATGCTCTCAGCCAGTACAGTATTAAGAGTGTTTTTAAGTCTCCAGGTGCCCAGATGCAACTGAAAACCTCCGTAGTGAAGTGACAAAGTTGGTTCTCAGGGCCTCCTCTTTCCCAGGTCAAAGCCCCAGGAACCAGGCCAGTGGGTAGAGAAAACGGAAAGTATGTGCCTGGAGTGGCCAGGTGAGCCCTGAGAGACGCCAGCCTGGCTGTGCCCTGTGGGATCTGGGCTTGTGGTTGGATTTCTGGGAACAGAGGGGGAAGTGCCAGGCTTGGCAGGGGCTGGAAGCTTTCATGACCAACCAGCCAGGCAGAGCGAAGAAAATCATGGGGAGGTGGCAGAGGCCCCACACTCAAATGTCCAGGGAGCAGAAACAAAAGGCTCAGGCTGGTTACAAGAACACTGCTCTTGGGGGCTGGGGATTTGGCTCAGTGGTTCCGCCTGCCTTGCAAGCCCAGTACCAAAAAAAAAAAAAGAACACTGCTCTCACATGGCCTGGGGCCTACAAGGACCTGAGAACCCATTCAGTGGCTGCTACCTCCAAGCCACCCAGGCCAAGCAGGAATAGGAGCCCCATGTCATCCCTATCTCCTGATTGCTCATTTTCCATAGAATCAGGAAAGCAGCTTTTGCATTAAATTCCCAGATATTTCCTTGTTTTTTAACAATGCCTCAAAAATTTTAAAAGCATCAAGTTCCGTCCCCAGTACCACGAAAGTCAATCAGTTACTCAATAAGATGAGCTGATAAAATGTTTAAACTGGGTCCCCACCCCCACACTGGCCAATCCAAAGGTCTCCAAGCCTCGGTGTTTGTGTCTGTGTCACAAAGCCACGTCTCCTACCTCAGACTTGGGTCCTGTCCCACAGGCTTTGCCACTGTTTGGGCACGGTCCTTGACACCCACGAACTATTTCCTTATCTGCAGAATGGGAATGATAACAGAACTCATCCCATAAGATTATTTGGGAGAACGAAGGAGACTTACCCAATAATATTGGTCAGTAGGAGTGGTAACAGTGAGGGAGGCCTGGGGAAAACTGGGAAGAGAAAGAGGAATGACTAAACAGATAGGCCCAATATAAGGATATGTGTGGTGACAGAGGGGCCTCCAGACAGCCAGGCAACTCTGGGTCTAGCTCTGTCTCGGTAGGTGGTGGCCTCCCAAGACATAGCTTCTCATCCTGTGCTTACACAGCTGCCAGTTGGAGCCTAACTCTAGGACTTTACAATGGCACTTGTTGTGGTTTTACCTTCTTAGTTTGGGATGAAGACATTCCAGTCTGTCAAGATTCTGCAAATGGATGTATTAGCTGTCCCTCCTGACTTCCTTCTTTTGTAGTTTGAATAAAATTTTACTAGAACCAGCTGAGTCTTTTAATTGCCCTGCAACAGAAACCCCCAAGAGGTAGGGCTAACTTCAGGTATGGGTTTAGGTGGGTCAAACGATAATACCAGGACCTAGTTTATCTGTGCTATCTTTCTAGGTAGGATCCATTCTCATGCAGCCTCTTCAGGGCTACAGCTCCACATCTGAGTGACTCCCAAGTCAACAAGAGTCCCTGAGAGTTGAAAGAAAAAGTCTTTGTGTAGAGTTTCATTAACCATGGATAACCTGACTTGGACCATTTTCCCTTTCCAGAGCAACCCATTTTCCCAAGAGGAATACAACATGCCGAGTACCAGGCTTGGCCCATATCAACCCTGAATAAGATGGTGATAAATGAAATCAACACCTCCCAGATCAAAATATGGATCAGAGGAGAAAAGGGGATAATGACTCCAAGTTGGTGTGCCACCCAAAGAAGAGTATTTATCTTATCACCCACACAAGGCGTTAAATTGTAGCTAAAAGGACAATATGTCTTCAACATCTAATACCCCCCTTGATCATCAGGGCTGGCTGGGCTGATCTTAGATTCTCTTTGGTATCTCCTGCACCTACGAGAGTCATACTAACTGATTAAAAAGAGCAGGAGGACTATTCTCCCACAACAGTGTTAAACATTCAATTGAACTATTTTTGGTCACTTACAGATCCTCCTACCCCAAACCAGTCATCTATACATCAGACATGAGTTCCTCTAACGCTGCCATTATTCAACCATCTTCATCTCAAAAAAGTGTACTTAGGAAAAAAAAAAAAAAAACTTGGCCAAATGATCCATAGTTCCAACACTGAGCTAACGTCCACTTCCAACTAGAGCCTACTAAAGGCAAAGTGGTGGTGGGGATTGCTCCTCAGGAAGCCAAGCTACCTATAAGAACACAAGACTCTTTGTCCACAATTATTCTGTTTTGATACTGGGGACAGACTTCAGGACCTTGCACTTGCGAGGCAGGCGCAGCGCCACTGAGCTAAACCCCTGGCCCTGTCCACAATTGTTTAAACAAATCCTAACATCAGCCAGCTAGCCTGGAGTTCCCAGCCACCCCAAAACTCCAATCCCCACCTAGTACCAGAAATCACGTCACTAAAGGAGAGTGTCGGCTATACAGAGCTGCCCGCATCAGCAGAGTCTCCTGGGGGGCTCATTCTGATAGTGTCCACGAGAAAACAGTGCTGACCCAAAAGAGAAGTCCTCACAAATAACACGCATTGGGTTGAACCATATGAAGTGGCCCCTTTTGTAGACAAATAATAGTCAAACAGCAACAGTTTCATACAGTCACATGTGAAAATGATAAAGCAGCAGTTTTCAAGGTGATCCACAGACTCCTGGGGGATTCCAAAGACCCCATCCTGAGCAACCACATTGTTTCCTAAGGATACCAAGATGTTAGTTGCCTTTCACGGAGCTGACATTTGCATTGAAAGTGCAAAAGCAGCAGTGGGTACGTCAGTCTTTTTCTGTTGCTGAGGACACAATGGCACAGGCTGGGCCAGTTACAAAGAAGGGAAGTTTGTTTGGGCTCACAATTTGGGACCACAGTCAAGGAGCTGCAGCTGGTAGGGTCCCGAGGCAAGACACACGGGAACACGTGCGTGCATGTTGGGCGGCCTCTCTTGTGACCCCACCAGTATCCCATCATGGCGGCTTCACCCTGATGACTGTATTTCATCCTAATGACCTCCCCCAGGCCCCACCTCTTTACGCCATAAGGGGACACAGAACTTTTCAATACCATCCAATTCAGATTAAACTCCAAAGACCTTTCAAAGAGGACAAACTGTGTTCAAACCCGTGCATCCAATTATATCAAGTTGAAATTCCTCACTGACTTCAATTAAACAGAAAGACCCGCCACAGACTGGACTCACAAGCACATGATACTTCTGCCCTCTTTCATTAAGCTCATTAAAATTCACAAAAATGCTCAAGAGAGCCCTTCTTCTCACTAACACTTTTCTTCCAGAAAGTATTTTTCATAAAAGCGTGTTACTTGTATCAACATGGAATGAGTTTATTACTGCTACGGTGTGATAAATTTAGAAATATTTCTTTAAGTATCCACATTAATTTCTTGTACAGAAACTGTCAATAGATAAACCCACATATACAAAAACTCTCCCGGTCGTCAATACGTTTTAAAAGTGCAAGTGAGGGCCAGAGATTTAGCTCAGTGGTTCCGTCACCTGCCTCAAAAGCACAAGGACCCAAGTTGGATCCCCAGTACCATTAAAAAAAAAAAAAAAAAAAAAAGTGCAAGTGATTCCAGAGAACAAAAACTTAAAGAATTGCTGCATAAGGACAACAAAATATTTGTGAAAGGAAGTGCTGTTTCCCTGGAAAGAAGGGTGCTGATGTAATCATGCGTGGATTCATGCGCGGAAGTGGCCTCCTGGGATGAAGGGAAGAAAGTAAGGAGACAGGAAATTGGGTGTCTTGGTCTGTTGTTAATAACACGGTACCACAGACTAGGTACGTTATAAAGCAAAGAAGTGTATTTTGGCTTCCAGTTCTGCCTCAAGCTGGAAGGGCTGCATCTGGAGCTACTCTTGCTGGCAGAGCCCCAAGATAGGGCCAGCTTTTGCAAAAGATAGGTGCTCTGCACCTGCCTTGCTAGCACAAGGTCCTGAGTTCGATCCTCAGTACAGGGACAGGATGGGCTCTCCAGAGACTGAGCCCCCCAGGTTTTTAGAGCAGACCCACTCAGAAGGTAACCGGTTATTCACCCTGTAATAGCATAAAGGATAACCCTTTCAGAAGGAAGGCAGGGTCCTAATCAGCTCTTAAGGGCCCCATCTCACCGCCACGAGTTTCAAGAGGGATAAACCATGTTCATCCGGCTGGGGAGCAACTGGCAGCTGCCCAAGGCTGGAGCACAGGTGAGTCACCCGGAGCCCCAAAGCTCGGGGAGGGCTGCAGGATTTCTAAGGCAGAGGTTGAGCCCCAGAGCAAGACCCCCACCTGGGAGCAGTGTTGGAGGGGCCGAGGTGAAGGAAGAAAGTCCCTGGGAAGTAGGTGAGCAACTTGCGATGATCCCAGCACCCTGAGGCCGAGGCAGGAGGACCAAGGAGTTCAAGGCTATCCTGGGCTACACAGGGAGACTATCTCAAACAAAACAAAACGCAAACACCCAACTCGCCCTGGATCTTCAGACCTGCACGGGTGAGGGCGAGAGGCGGCATGCGCGGTGGTCTTGGGGGGGAGGGGTGTTGTGTTCTGGGGGACGCACGGGAAGCAGGACGGGGTTGGCCCACTGGCAGGTGAGTGCAGTGGAGAGTTGCGAGGCACGCGAGGAGGGCGCGTGTGGCCCCGTCTGGGGCGGTGGGCCTCGCTCCCGAGTCGACGCACCTGAGCGCGGGGTAGAGGACGGATGAGGGAGGCTCCTGGGGAGCTGGCGAAACAGGTGGCGATGACAGGCAAGCTCCGCCCGCGGGCTCTCCCGGGCTCCTCCG